CCCCATTGCCCATTAATATGTTCCAATACTGTTTGTTTGAAATTAAAATAATCAGACGTCTAATCTGAGTCACTGTCGAATAAATAACTCGTTGACGTTTAGTTGGGATCACGGCAGAACCAGAACTTGAACTGTTTGAATGTTTGAAGTATGCATATTTGGTACGTTTGAAGTATGCGTATTTGGTACTTTTGAAGTATGCGTATTTGGTACTTTTGAAGTATGCGTATTTGGTACGTTTGAAGTATACGTATTTGGTACGTTTGAAGTATGCGTATTTGGTACGTTTGAAGTATGCGTATTGATACGTTTGAAGTATGCGTAATTGGTACGTTTGAAGTATGCGTATTTGATACGTTTGAAGTATACGTATTTGATACGTTTGAAGTATGCGTATTTGGTACGTTTGAAGTATGCGTATTGATACGTTTGAAGTACTTTATGTATGCGTATTTGGTACGTTTGAAGTATGCGTAATTGGTACGTTTGAAGTATGCGTATTTGATACGTTTGAAGTATACGTATTTGATACGTTTGAAGTATGCGTATTTGGTACGTTTGAAGTATGCGTATTGATATGTTTGAAGTATGAGTATTTGGTACGTTTGAAGTATGCGTATTTGGTACGTTTGATGTATGCGTAATTGGTACGTTTGAAGTATGCGTATTTGATACGTTTGAAGTATGCGTATTTGGTACTTTTGAAGTATGCGTATTTGGTACGTTTGAAGTATACGTATTTGGTACGTTTGAAGTATGCGTATTTGGTACGTTTGAAGTATGCGTATTTAGTACGTTTGAAGTATGCGTATTTGGTACGTTTGAAGTATACGTATTTGGTACGTTTGAAGTATGCGTATTTGGTACGTTTGAAGTATGCGTATTTGGTACGTTTGAAGTGTGCGTATTTGGTACGTTTGAAGTATGCGTATTTGGTACGTTTGAAGTATGCGTATTTGGTATGTTTGAAGTGTGCGTATTTGGTACGTTTGAAGTATGCGTATTTGGTATGTTTGAAGTATGCGTACTTGATACGTTGGAAGTATGCGTGTTTGGTACGTTTGAAGTATGCGTATTTGGTACGTTGGAAGTATGCGTATTTGGTACGTTTGAAGTATACGTATTTGGTACGTTTGAAGTATTCGTATTTGGTATGTTTAAAGC